GGAGACGGGGCACACAAAGCGAGGCTGACCTCACAGCCGCCGCCCCCACCCCTGAAAGCAGCCCGGGGCCCGCGACCCCGGCAGGAAAAACCTCCCTCCCAGCCCGCTCCGCGCCCCGCTCCCACCCAGGGCCGCCCCCTCCCCCCAGAGTGCACCCCAGAGCCGATGACAAGGCTGGACCTCGCCCCCACCCGGTCCCGGCGCCCTCCGCCGAGGGAGGGGCAGGGCCCCGGAGGGCTGGGGTCCACCGCTCCTCGCCCTGACCGCATACTTACGCCGCGTTACTCGCCCGAGTTGCCGCCGCCCCACCAGATCGCCGACGCCTTCTCCTCCACCCTAATGAGGTTAAGTGCTTGGTGCGGGGATTAAAAAAAAAAAAAAAAAAAAAAANNAAAAAAAAAAAAAAAAAAAAAAAGCCGAGCGCGCCTGCGCAGGGCGCTCTCCCTTTTTTCCCCTTACCGCCACCGACCCCGCTGGACCATAGAGAGTGTAAACCGAGACCAGAGAGGCGGCTGCTTCTCTATGGTCACGCCCCGCGCAGGCGTCGGGAGCGGCGAATTCCAGGAGCGCTCCCTCCTCGAGGACGGCGGCTGACCCTGTCGGGGACCCGTAGCGTCAAGGCTCTCTGAGGCGCGGGGGCTGTTGGGCCCCTTGGGAACTTGCAACAAAACTCGGGCTAGACGGGGAGGGTCACCTGAGCGGCCGGGCAGGAGGGCACCGGGGAGCAGGGAGTGTGGCGAGTAGAGCTCAGGAGAAACCGGTGTAGAAGCCGCCCGCCTGCAGACGAATACCTGAGGGAAACGGCCGTCTCACGTCCGGCTGACGCGCAGCTGGCCCGCCGGCGGGCGCCCGGGACGGAGGAGATTGCTCCCTGCGGCTCTCCGTACCGGGCGGCCCTTTCCCCTCCTGAGTAGGCGCCGGCCCCTGCGCCGGAAGCACAACGTCTTAACGGTTCTCTGACCTTTCTGGAGCGAGGCCTGCCGGGTGGAGGCCTGGGAGACTTGGAACGAGCTCTTTCCACCGGAGCGTCTCCGACGCCGCAGCTCTGGTGGCACTGTGCGGGAAAGTGCTTCAGAGGCCAGAGCGCAGCGCGGGTTATAAGGCTGCACTGAAGGACCCTGACCACCCACATTTTTGCCTCGTGAAGACCCGGCGCCCGCCGGCATTTTAACACTGTAAACCTTGCGGTTACACACCGCGCCGTGGGGATCGCGTAGGAGTGTGAGCTGCGCCCGCACCCCGGAGCCCCGCGCGTCGAGGGCGCGCCGGCAGCCCTGG